ACGGCACTGGATCGACCTTGGTACCATTTCTTCTGGATTCCGACTTCGGTGGCCCACTATTTCCTGCGTAAGTACGGAGACATGGGCCTCGTATCCACTCTATACCCAGGTCGTTCACCAGTGGTACGCCCGGGATATAGAGGACTATGTTCCCACGTTTCGGTCTGCCGGCTGAACCCACGCGACATTCGTCAGAAGATCTTAAGTCTCCCCATTCTAGCAGCAGTGGTGATTGTCGAACGAGATCGCCAGAAAGCTGATGCCACCCGCACACAGCGATTGATAATCGAACCGTCACTTGAGTCCTCGCAGATACTATGGTCGGCGCCCACCCCACTGGGGTACGGAGGCAATTGTAGCGGTCGTTGGCACTGTCTGTGCCATCTGCGGGTAGGATCGGCAACTGTCGGACTAAATGAATAGACCGTTTGTGCTCTAGTGTTAGGACACGTTTGCGCGCCAGTGGAGAGCAGTGGGACGGTGGGTGCTCCTGACTGTCAGGTAGGGTCCGACAGCACCACGTCCCAGCGCATCACTCCAGTTAACCACTGATACTTGATTCTCCTTCCCCTTGCTGTAAATAATCTGTAAATCAAATTCATCTAATGAGGAGTTCCAGCGTGCTATACGGCCCTTGTCACAATTTCGCATCCAACGGAGGGATTCATGATCCGTTCGAATCGTAATGTTGCGTCCTAGGAGAAGTTGTCGGAAATGCCGAAGTTAGTAGAGTGTTCGGCGGGATATAGTTACCGCAGATTCTGACTGGTTTGTCCGGATGGAATACTAACCGAGGTCGGAAAGCCCACGGTGAACTAGACTGATACCTCGCTCTTCATCTTGCGATAAAGATGTGGTGATACGATCGGGGGGGTCCACGCCATTCCCACCCATCCACAGAATGGCCGAGTTTGTCCGGAGTGCAGGCGGCTGGGATATACGGCTCTCATCGTGTTGGAATCCCGTGCCCGCAACAGAAAGACCAGGCTCGACTGTGATGCGCGAGAGACCCTGAGTTGGTTCGGGTCTGTTGGCACAATAGTTGTGTTGCTGTTTGTGAAACTCCCTAAATCAACAAGAAGCTCCTGCCCTCGCACCGGCCCCTGGATCCAAATCGTTCACGATTTCGCGAGAGTGCGTGCTCAATTCCCGACACTGCTTCACATCGTGTGCAATGGGGTTGA